GACCAAAGGCTCTCGCTGATATGTCCGAGCGGCGAAAAAGTCGATGAAGCTGAGCGACTCTGGTGTAACCGGGTATATCGGTGCGGGGGCTAGATTAACATTATATATGTTTGGGTTTACCTGCGAGCTTTCAATCCGGACCTCCAAGGTGTCACTGTCGAGTATTCGGGCACCGAGATTATGCAACAAGTCGGTTACACCAAGCACTGTCAGGTAATCAGGCGGGAAGGATTCATTTCCAGATTCCTCCCAGGTCGGAAGCAGCTCTGGTGAAGAGGAGGGCGGGTTCATGAGATGATAGGGGAAGGCTGCTTCCTTGCCATCGCGCGTCCCCCAGTTGACACCCGACGCTCGGTACATGTACGGCCTCCCAGGCCCGAGAAGCCAGCGGAAGCCAGCCATGTGTTGTTCCTTAGTTCTGTAACGGAAAGTGTTCTTGAAGCCTCTGTTGACTTCATCCTGTGGGGAGTGCTTAAGAATGAAGTATCCATAGGAGAGAGTCGTCTCAATAAGTCGGAGCGGGAACCCGCCAAGTGCCTGAAGAAGATTTTGGGTCTCAAGTGAGGGAAGCCTGAAGGGATCTTGTATGTGCAAAGGAGGGGTCGTTGAGGTGTCCCAGCCATTGCCAAAGATCTGAGGTGGGAGAGAGGGGGAGCTGCTCGAGTAGGTGGATGTGGGCGGTGAGAAGGAGTCACTGGCTGATTGGATGGAGAATAGAAACCCGGGAGTATGTTCCTCCGAGGACATGTCTGAATCCAAGAGCGTCGGCGGGGTATGGTTGCTAAAAGTTATCAAAGAACTTTCGGTATGCGTGAGAGTTGTTGGTAGGCTGACAGCAGAAGTCGACTCTTCAGGAGGGGCCGGTTCCTCGGCCGCTGAAGCTGAGTCGCCTTCATCAATTGCTTTCAGAGGGTTTCCCGTCATGATTGAGTCTTGGTCGATATCTACTACTTCTTTGGCCAATTGGAGGACCTTGGTGATGGACTCACGAAGGTTGGCCACCAGTCCGGGATGCTGCACAACAATGGACTCTGTCTGCAGCATCTGGTCAAAGACACCCATAAAGACACAACTCATCTCTTCAATGACTTGTTCCAAGCGGCGCAAGCGGTGTTGTTGCGCCTGTTCAGCTACCTGCTTCCTCCTGCGAAATGCATTCTGTGCCTCACGATTCTTCTGCCGCCGTGTCTGCTAGCAAGGTAAGCGGTTGATCGGCGAGACATCTCCCATGAGATGCGTGACGTGTAAAGGCAACATGGAATGGAACGTACCATGGCAGTGATCTCGTCGGGGTCAGCAGCATCTGTGGTAGCCTTTCTGCGGGCACCTCGCGGCTTTGGAGTTCGTGGTGGGGGGCCCATGGTGACAAGTCCTGAGCCTGGTACGCGCCAAGGATCCCGGACTGTAGGCAGTTATGCTTCGGCCAGAACCAATACTTGAAGGAGGAGAACCAGGACTGGACCGGACAGCCGAATTGTGTGGTTGTATGTATTATAAGTATAACTTGCTCCCGTAGATGGGATCGTCAACCAGTCCCAGCCAGTTCCAGGAAAACAGGGTCAACTGGTCAACAAGAACAGCTTTCCGCCCTGTCCGTGCAGGCAGCTAGCAATTCTACAATCAATCAAACGGCTTGGCAGGGTATTCACGTCGCTTTGCCTGGCTTTCCCGGTAAGTAGGGAGTCAGTTGGGGGTAATGAGAGCAGCCACACCTCGCGCCTCGCCTCGAGTTGTCTTGAGCTGGGGACTGACTAAGCCACAGAAATGCACCATCGGAGCACTTATATAACGGCCCCGAGAGCAGATCTGAGCATTAATCCCGCCCATTCTGCACATGTAATTGGATGCTCAACAACCCAACAGGCTGACCGAGGCGGAGGCGTTTCATCGTACGGTAATGATGAGGCGTCGTGTCCTCTTCTTGCTGCTGCCACCGAGTAAAGCCTTTATGATGTATGCTAGAGGGAGGTATCACGCTCTCATGGGGCAGGCACAAGTGACAGTAGTACTTGCCCAACTTGTGCAGAGTAGACGGCTGACAAATCTGTCCCCACACCACATGTCCACCGCAATTTCTCCGCCGACAGAAGTCATCACCTGGCCTTTGGTTGTGTTCCCTGCTTGAAGCAATTCCCGACTGTATTTGCAAATGGCCTGGTCCTGATGTGTCTATCCGTCTTTCAGGCGGCGATTTCCATATGCGGGCATTTTGATGGTGGCCACGGCGGGCCACTTTGCATGCCGTTATGCATAGCCTCATCCCTGTGCCTGGGGAAGATCTAGGTAGATATGCATGTTCTGCCACTGCCTTGTTTCTGCACGGCATTAAGTGCTCACTCACAACTCATATGTAACTAGGTAGGTAATTGTCATTGCTGCATTCATTATCCTTCTTAATAGGTTACTTCCTTTGTAGTATTTTCCCATTTGGGACAAAATCAGAAGGACAGCCGCTTGCATCTGGTCTGATATGCTATATAACAAGGGCATTCCAGATCTGCTGATCTGGACTTCATCCCATCTGACCTGACCCCAGATGTGAATGCACGTCATAGTTGCTCACTTGAGATTCCCTCCCAAGCAAACATGTCACATCGAATTGAGTTTACTGGTACTTGGCGCATCATCTGCATATTTAATCTGTGGCTCACCCTTACTGTAAGAAACGGCTGACCACGCCCTCGCCCGTTACTGTGTACAGCACTGAAATGCTGTTACATTCTGTCTATCCATGACCCATTCTCACGGGTCCGTTCCATCTCAGACAAGGCTGAGACAGAACAACGAGTCCATTCTATTCAAGGGCAATGAGCTGGACAGATCACCAAACCCACTCCGTTATTTTGATTCATTTGTCAGGATACAATGGGGCCCGCCTGACTTCAAAGTATCGATGTCTTGGACAGATTCGGTCCTTTGCATCGTCACAGTGTGCTATACATTTCATCATGCTTGGCAGTCACGGGAATCAGATAATGATCGACTTGCTTCCAACGTCCGAATTCTTCATCAATAACCTATCGCCCGATTTAAAGGTCCGTATGGGGGAAATCATCGGTTTCCTGGAGTAATCTGAGAGCATCACAACACCTCATACCGGTCATTTGGTATACTCAAATGCATGTTCAGAGAGCAAAAAAGGCAGGTGTCTGCTCCAAGACACTGGTTCTTATTGAATTTCTTACGTTTACCGACCCAGATTTTACATAACTCAGGTATATTCTGAAGGCCCCGGGGATCATGATGAAAATGAACTTCTACTATAAAAGGAGAAGGAAAAGAGCTTGCCATGTATATTACCCTCATGAGTTGTGTCCAGATAGTTCTTTCTTTTATGGTCTATATCGAAGACATCTAGTTTTTGAAGTATATTTAAAGCATATCAATATGCGGTTTCTCTCATTTACTCTTGGCCTTCTAGGGTCAGCCATCACTGCCTCGGCCACGATGATACCCAATACCAGTGTCTTCCGTGATGACGGCTTCACCGCGGTGAACCCCGGAAGCTTCAAGGACTTGGTTGTCACCGACCGGAACACACTGAATGGCACTCGCTCGGGAGATTCTCTCGTCGTACCCTTGGCACAGGCAAAGACTGTCGCCCCCACACTCCCTCTACAGTTCGTCAATAATTTTGGCAGTGCCGTCAACGCGTACATCTCGGGATTGGACTCCAAGGGGGCTGTTGTATTTGTTGCCGCGGATGGTAGCTTGATCTATCCCAGCTCTGGTGGTTCCGGTGTCCCTGTGAAGATCACCCAGAACATCAAGATCCCAGTCGCCGCAGGCAAGACGCTCAGCATGACCCTTCCCATTTCCCTCACATCTGGTAGAATCTACTACTCTGTTGGAGAGCTTTATTTTGGCATCGTCAGCACTGGCAACGGCGACGGCCTTGTTCAGCCAGCCCCGAACAACCCCAAGGACCCCAGCGCTGCTATCAACTGGGGCTTTGTTGAGCTGACCTTGACAAGTGCCGGGGTACTCTATGCCAACATTAGCTATGTTGACTTCCTCGGGCTGCCCTTGGGCATGAAGCTTACTGTCAACGGAGGCAGCACCCAGACAGCTTACGGAGTTGCCGCCGGTGCCGTCACCAGCGTCTGCAACGACCTGGCCACCCAGAAAGCAAAGGACGGCCGCCCATGGACCGCCCTGTGCCAGGCCAACTCAAAGGGCCCCGTCCGAGTCCTCTCCCCCACTCTATACACCGACCTCGACTCCTCCAGCTTCCAGACATACTGGGACACGTACATAAACCAAGTCTGGTCCAAGTACACCTCCACCAACCTCGTCATCGACACCCAGAACTCGGCCGGGAAAGTCAACTGCAGGGTCTCCGGCAGCACCCTGACGTGCGCCGGCGACAACCGCGGCTACAGCAAGCCCACTGCCCGCGACATCTGGGGCTGCAACAGCGGGCCCTTTGGCAAGCAGGCGGGCGACAACGACGTCCACCTCGCCGTCATCCCGCGCCTCTGCGCCGCGTTTGTCCGGTCGACGCTGCTGCTCTCGGGTGGTAACGTCCAGCCCAGCCTCGGGCAGGCCAACTACTACACCGTGAGCCCGACGAACCATTACAGCCGCGTTGTGCACACGAAGGAGGTTGATGGGAAGGGGTATGCCTTTGCCTATGATGATGTTAACCCTACTGGTACTGAGAATGCGTCGGGGACTGTCTCCCATGGCAGCCCCAAGACCCTGACTGTCTATATTGGCAGCCCTCCTTGAGTGAGATGGAGTGAGCTTTGGGGATGCAGACTGTTTGGATACTAGAAGTAGTCGGATTGTATATAGGCAGCTGGAGGAATTTATGTTCATATGTAGGTACCCGAGTATATATCAACTTTTGTGGAGAGACTCGAACTCGTTTTCGGTAACATTGACATGTCAAGTCCTACAAGGTGAGACGTTGTAAATCCAACTACGAGTTGCGCTCGTAACTCTGCGAAACTCGACAGCAACACAACCACGAACTAGCTTTTTAAGCCTTGTGAGCATTACTCCCTCTGTTTGACTTTGACATTGCACATTCTCATCATCTTCTTCAGCAACTGCGCGTACTCATCATTCTCGTCCCCAGCCTTGTGTTTTGGGAAATGTCTCTGCTGCGCAACTCTATTATTTGTCCCAGGTTAACGTCTTGTATTCCGGATTCTTGTGTACCGGGGTAGAACTCACAGGTTCAGGCGCCACTCCTCGAGCTTCCAGGCCGTTTCCTTGCCGTCGAATTCTTTGTCGAGTTGCTCCTGCGACTTGAGCGTTACTTCAGCCCATACGAAGTCATCATCTACCGATTACATGTGGTCAGTTTTACAGGCCCCAGTGACAAGACAGAGGAGCATAATTACAAGAGTCTTCAGCTTCGTCCTCGTCATCTTCCGCCTCATCATCTTCAACCTCTTCGTCTTCCTCGTCTTCCTCTTCTTCCTCTTCGTCCTCGTCCTTATCCTCGTCGTCTTTGGCCTTGGTTAATGGCCCCCCTAGGAGGTGTGGCAAGAGGCTTGGTGCCTCATCCTTGATCCATTGCCCCTTGCTAATCGCGGCAGAAAAGTTCGGAACCCATTCGCTGTCAACGCAGTGATCGTCGATTGTAATGTACCAAGTGTTCAACCCTGTGTCTACCCTCTCTGGGCCATAGCCATGGTGGGGATCTGGCTGAACAATGTGGTACATGCTGTTCTTGATGCGGCTTGGGGCTTTGATTCTCCTGGATGTTTTTTACTTGTCTACGAAAAGTTTTCACGCAATGGCTATGAAATACGAAATATTACTGCAAAGAGCCCCTCACCCATTGGATGTTGTGGGCTGTTAGTTGTCGGTTGTTGGTTGCTGTATGAGACCCGGCCAATGAGAGCACAGGCTGTGGGTAGCAAGGAATATGAGCTTAGGCGAGCAGCTCTGCTATCTGCATATTCTTGATATGCGCATATCGAGGGATCTTTCGAGTGCGCCAAGGCAAGGTAGCGACCTTGATGGTTACAGGATACTTCCACTAGGTACCACCAAAATGTGGGGTGGAGGGGCATTGCTGACCTCCCCGAGAGATAATGCCAGAGAGGGAGGCATTGGGGATCCAATAGCGCCATGGCGAGGGTCACTGCTGGCGATGGGTGGGTGGGCTGCAGATGGCTGGCGAGCCCCAGGGCCAGACAGAGTTGAGGGCTGCATGGCCGACCGGAAGCCCACCGATTGACCTCTTGGTTCGGCAGGTGTGCCATATCGTTGCTGGCAGCCGAATGCTACCTCGTACGTGCCGTCGAAGGATCAGAGCCCGTCCGCTCATTTCCCTACAAGGCCGGCATCATCACAACATGAAGGGCCAGCAGGTTCTGGACGATCAATGCAGCCTCCCAGGGCAGGGCGTCAGGCGTCTCGCCCGCCCTCCTGATCCACACAGTGATTGCCTTTGGCCTGCTCCATTTCGGGGTCCCCAGGGTCACACTTCGTTCTCAGGTGGGAGCAGACCATCCGCCCCGCCCTCTATCGTCATCGCTCGCAGGTGGTGGACTGAGTGTTTTGCCCTGCGCAAGCCTCGCCCCTCGCCCTTGGGATACTCACAGCCATGATCCGGGCGAAACCGACCCGGCTCCATCCCTTCGGTCGCCTTGCGTCGTGCCACTCCGGAAAGCCTTATGCAAGCTGCTGTTCTCGGCAAACACACTGTCTGGTCTGGTGCCACTCTGAGTTCGCTCTCATTCCAGGCAGCGCTGGCAGGCTGGATCGCATGCGACACAGTGTGGCACTCTCTATTCAACAAACTCGGAGACCCTAGTAACGGTCTCCAGAATCCTTCGGCAGCGAGTCCATGCCAGGGCGCCCAGAGCATCTAGAATCCCGAGTCCCGCGGGAAGTGAAACGGTCCTGCCTGCATGTAATCCCTACCTTACCCTATGGCTCACGGCCGTCCCCAGCCCACCCGAGAGTTTCCCGCCTTCAGCCCCCTCGGGACGATAGGTCGAGAACAATCAGTTCTGAACGGGTGTGCAAGTAGTCGCTACTGTTGGCAGGGAAATCTATTCTGGGCAGCCGACGTGGTCTAGTCTGCTCATCGCTTCGTCGTGACTTGCAACTAAGCAACCTTCAGGGAGACCTGCCATCCAATACACTCCAAGATGTGCCAGCGATGTACCGCTGCTTGCGCACTGTGGCACATTTGTCTCTCTAGTCGTTGCGTCCTTGTTCTCCACACCAAGATAGAGGGCGGGTCTCACCGCTCATTGCCCGATCGAGTGCTCCTTTGGTCGTGCCCAATGCCATTGATCGCTGGCTCTGCTGACGCTGGGTACACCCAACCACTTATCGCGCGTTCTTCATGCACTGTGCCTATCCGGCCACTGAGCTGATTTGTCCAGAGCTTGGACTGTAACATCATTGGGGTGCACTAGAGTTGCCAAAGATAATCTATGGGTTCCACGAAGGCGAAGTATCTCGAAGATCGGGGTCTTTTGCCACTGGCGATCGGCATTCGGTATGGATGTATTACCTTCCACTGCACGCATTCTTCGTAACCCCATAGCCATGCTTATCAGCGGCACGGATGCGTTACGTGGGTTTGGTGAGTTTGCTGTCCAACCACCAAAGGGACTGTGTAGACTTGAGTGGTAAAGTATCGATGTATTTCCCCCAAGGAAATGAGGGGCCGTAGGATGCCTTGAAGACGTCACCTGGGCGATTTCCCTGGCTTCCCTGACGCTCATTGTCTGGTTGTCGAGAAGCTCCCTGGTAAATACCAGCTACAGCGTTAGTGTCATCTCTCTCCGGATGAGTTGGCCCTAAATTGTGATGCAGCGAAAGGATTGTCTGTTCCCCAATAGTACATTCAAGCATTGGGGGTTCCGAGAAGTTCCACTAGTTTTATAGCAATTGAGTTGTTAGGTAGGGCAACGTTGAGGAATTCATAGGACGGAGTTTCCGGCGCTCATACTCTATTGACCGTGTAACATGAATGCTTCATAATATGGTTTCGAGCCTCGACCCACGTAAAATCAACTTCAGTCTGATGATAGTCCAGCACTTCATTCTTAAGTTCATGAGTTACTTAGTGGAACGATGAAGGAAGAATTGTCTTTTGACTACCTGCTAGACGATACCTTGGATCGAGCCTCCGGCTCAAGTTAATCGGAAGGAGGCTCTCTAAATGATGCTAATGCGGACTCTTTTCGATTTCGTATTGGTTTTACGAATTGTAAAGTGCTCAGAGGATCCTATACAGAATCGTCATATTATGAGATGGATATTATTGTGCTCATGATGTTGGCTTGGAATATCTAACATCTAACCTATGATCATTCATTGTCGTAAGAAACCACATGGTGGCTCAATGACTACTTGGGAGCAGATGTAATCTTTAATTAACATTGAGAAGCAATCGTAGCGCGAGATCTGGCTAATTGCTGAGCATCTGTATCCCTAGATAACCATTGAGATTGCGTGGTATTTAGTTACTAATATCACAACCGAGTTCTCGGAGTTCATTAATTCTTGAAATTATTCCTGGGGCACGGCGCCGCTTGCATCGCAACACTTTCAGCAGCTGCACCTGCTGGGACTGACCCTGTATTGCGAAGATGACCAGGTGCTAGATGATCATTCCTTGTCCCCAAGAATTGAAGTGCTTCATCTAGGACCTGGCCCTCTTTACAATAGAGGGTCAGTTCCAGCAGGTGCAGCTGCTGAATTTACTGTGATGCAAGCGGCGTGGTTACCGCGAGGAGCCCTCGGATTAATTAGAGGCTTGAATACTTGATATAGTCGGCTTGGAGCTGGTTTGGGTCTTCTCTGATGGCCATCTTCATGTCTTCAAGGACCTGGTCATTTGCTCTGATCAGGCCCTCGCTGGTTGGGATAACAACGCCAGACACTGGCATTGTTGTTTGGAGAGGTGGATGTGGTTGGTGATGATGGGTATCCCGTCTGAGGGGCCATATGGCCGGTTTATATACCTCTAGCCAGCCCTTGCCAGAGTTTTTGGACATGTTGATGCCTGCGATTAGGCTGTGCGCCTGATAATCTAAGTTTTTACAGTGTTGAAGGTTTGGATACGAACCATCGTCTGTTTTAGAAAAAGTGTATAGTAAAGCTACGTGAGGCCTGATCTTGGGATAAACATCCTGCTTACGGCGATGAAATAAACATATATATCTAGCCAGCCCTTGATAGAGTTTTCCTGTGATGTTGATGCCTGTGCCCAGGCAAGTGGGTGACGAGAGAATTGTGACACCTCATGGGGAAGTGGCCATAGACAGACTGCTTTCCGCGATGAATGGAGAAATTCAGTAGTATTGGATGAAATCAAGTGATAATAGATATCGTATTATTTCTGAAGTACACATCATTCGCACTCAATAATCTGCTGAGAATAAGCAGCTTAATGTTTGAGTGTCGCAATTTCAATGCCAGGCTACATGTGTTAGTTTTTGACTTTATCTTAGGTAGTGTGGAAGGTTTGGGGATAGACATTTGATGTTTAAAAAAAGAACGATGATGAAGGCCTAATCTAGGAATAATGAAAGCACCTCGAAGAATTACGTGGCTGTGCCCTGCCGAAAAGCGAAGGAACCGCGCGAAGTCTTCTAGAAGGGGCCCGGTTGGGGCAAGTCGAAATTCACCCAGATCGCCCAGTGACGTTGCCAGGCAGAGATCGGCGGGCTGAGAACCAGGATTGTAGCGAGCCGGCCTATGGACGCTCAAGCTCTCATAAAAGCTACCGTACTTTATTAGCTCAGTGGTCAGACGTCTCGTTGGCGCAGTGCCCAAGGCTGAGGGTTGCCCGTGATGATGAACGGCGTGACGTAGATTGGGGGTCGTTTGGATGATTGTGCTGTTGCCCTTTTGGGGGGTAATCGCGCGAAGACCTCAAGATGCGAATTATTTTAAATATCTGGTGTTTGTCTTCGAGATGGAGCTGTAGAAGAAGTAGAAGCAATCAGAATCAATATCCCACGTTTATCAATTCTTTAAATTCAATTTAACATTTTGCGCAAGCAAAGCCAACCAATCTAATACACACGGCTTCCTTAATACGCATTTGAAAGCACTCTTCCAAACACACAAATAAAACTACAATGTGTATTCGTACACTCTGCTGCTGCCTCTGCCGAAGGCACAAGAAGAAGAAGCAGGCCGAGAAAGAAAAGGCCATGCGCCAACAATACGGGCCCCGACCTGTCCAGCCCGGCACGGGATATCACCACAACTACTACTACCAGAACGGGTACTACCCCCAGGGCCCGTCGGCGCCCTACAAGAGCAGCTACAACAACCGGAACAAGAAGAAGAACAAGAAGATGAAGCACAAATACTACGACGATCGGTACGATATGGATTTTGGCGGAGGCGATGATGGAGGTTGCGGGTGTTCCGGGGGAGACGGAGGAGGAGGTGACGGAGGTGGTGGAGATGGTGGTGGTGGAGGAGGAGGAGACGGCGGCGGCGGTGGAGGAGCCGCGTAACGGTCCTTTGATTTCTCCTTTGTTATAGACTACGAGTAGCGATATAGAATTTGATTCCCTTGTGTGTTGATATCCCTTGTCTGAACAAGTGCGACCCCGGCCTTAGTGAACTCCACGCCATCGCTGCGATGTCGGTGCATTAGCTTGGAGATATGCACCCGTGGCTGGAATGGAGTCCCGAGGTCCCCGGCCCGGGAGAAGCGGGCGGGATATTAGTGCCTTGCGGCAACATCCTTCACCTGGCTCGTATGAACTTGCGATAGGGACGTGCAGGAGGACATCGGCCATGACTGTGTACAGTTTCCGTTTCCAGATCGGCGCAAGTAGGTCTCTGGGAACCGTGGCCACGCTCGCCACAGCCTGCTGCCTGTCTGTCTACTGCCTATATGTCCGACCTGCGCTTCGGCATGAGAACAAGACCGCCGCTACCATCTTAGCCAAGACCCGGCGGAGGAGCCTGGCGGCAGGGAGACAGGAGCTGGAGCCGGAGCCGTACCCCCAGGATGTGTTCCCGGGAGGACGAGAGGTTGAGACGCCATATGGGACCATCCAAGTATTTGAATGGGGGCCTGAGAACGGCGAAAAGGTAGCCCTTGTGCATGGAATTGGCACGCCCTGTATTGCTCTGGGTGACATGGCCAAGCAGTTCGTCGCAAAAGGATGCAGGGTCCTCCTCTTCGGTGAGCTGCTCTGAATGAACCTGCCCAAGCAGCAATTTTCCTAACCTTTTCTCTGGATAGACTTGTTTGGACGAGGTTATTCGGACGCTCCCGGGGACCTCCCATATGATGACCGTCTGTACACATCCCAGATCCTCCTCGCTCTGGCATCATCCCCCCTCTCATGGACCGGAACGGAGAGCTTCCACCTCGTGGGCTACTCCCTCGGCGCCGCCCTGTCCGCCGCCTTCGCCGCCTACTTCCCCCACATGCTGCGATCCGCCACCCTCGTCTGCCCGGGCGGGCTGATCCGCCCTTCCCACGTCAGCTGGAAGAGCAAGCTCATTTACTCGGAGGGCCTGCTGCCCGTGTGGCTGTCTCATTATCTTGCCCGGTGGAGGCTGGAACCACGCCACCATGGACCGAGCGCTGATGTACCTGTGGACGTGGACAATGACGCGGATATAGATTTTGACGAGGTGCCGCTCACACAGGCTCACGGCGGGAGCGGTGCCAGGGTCGGGGATGTCATGCGGTGGCAGATGGAGAGGAACGAGGCGTTTGTGGGCGCATATATCAGCACGTTGAACAACGCGCCCATCTATGGCCACCACGAAGGGGTGTGGAAACGCCTGGCTGGACGGCTAGCTGAGAGAAGGGCAGAAACAGGTTGCCCAAGCGGCTTGCCGGGTGGTAGGGTGTGTCTGGTCCTCGCCACCAGGGATCCAGTCGTCGTCCTGGACGAGTGGCTCGAGGATTCTCGAAGAGTCTTGGGAGAAGAAGGCGTTGACATTCAAATCCTCCCTGGGGGGCACGAAATCGCCATCACCAAGGGAAAGGAGATTGCGGATGTTGCGATGAGATCGTGGCCTCAGTGACGATCAAATTGCTCACCCCCGTTCACTGCACTTAGAAGAATATATATAATCTAGATTTTAGAGGAATGAATAATGCATGTTATTTTGTGTTTAGGCAATTGCACAGTGAGAAAATCGCCATGACCAGATAATTCGCCTTCCCAACGCCTAGATAATGAGTCTATGCAACACCGAACAGACCCCACGTGATTCATAAATCTGTATATGCCCCGGTATGATGATGCAGGAATCAAGAAAATGAATCGAAATAAACCAAAGCCAGAACATATCAGAAGGGGGACGCGTCGCCGCCCTATCATTTGTCCAGGCCACGAGCCTTGACAAACCGATTAATTTGCTCCTTAGTCAACTTATCTTGATAATGTTCATGGCATTCGTAAAAAGATATGATCTCTTGCGTGGCGTCCACCATGGCTGTGATGTCTACCCGGCTATCTGACAACCAGGAGGCGAACTGCTGCAACCGGGAAATCCGGGTGTCCTGGGGCTTGTCCTTGGGGATCTCAGAACTGGTAGGAATAGAACCAGCATTGCCGGCAGCAAAATTGATTCTGGCTTGCGCTTGGCTGAGCGCGGCCTGGGCAGCAGCCAACCCTACGGCAGCACCATTATTCTGCCCAGGGATGCCTGGGCTGGGACGCAGCACCAGTGCAAGGAGGATTGCGACGAGACCAATAATGTGTGGACTTGTCGTAAGGGGTAGGTCGGTCATGTAGGAGTCGTTTATGACCGACTTCGCCAGTGTCGCATCTTCGTCCGTCATGGACAACTCGCTCCTGAGAGACGTCAGGGTACGATATGGTTGGTGGATGAGCAGCTGGGAGCTCATTTCGCTGATGAGAAAGAACTCGCACTCGCCGACCTTGGAGGTGTCGAGACTGATGAATTCAGACCATAATGCTCGCGCCTCGGTGACAATCATTCGGATGTGTTGCGGTGCTTCTTCCATCTTACAGGCGAGGTAGACGGCTGTCGTGACAACGAGGTACGGGTTTGTCCGGCGGATCTCGACCTTGGTGTAAAAGCGCTTGAGGTATACTTGAGCAGTTGCGATGCATTGTTGCCGGACCGATATCTTCTTGCTGAGCTTGATAATCTCTATTCACGAGGGGTTAATTGCTTGGTTGGGTGAAACGGGACGGGGTACAGAACGGACGTTGATTGAAGTAGATAAAGAGATGCCTGATCTGGGGCAAGGGGAACATGCGAACGAGTTCGGCATTTTCCTCCTCGAGTTTCTGACGGGTCGACTCCAGCTGCTCCTTGGTGAATTGCCAGTGACGTCTCTGAGTCGATTCCCAATAGTTGGCCGACATGGCTGCTTAGCGCACCAGGCACAAGCCCAGCACGAGGGCGTTGGAGGGAGCGATGCGATGCCTGGACATGAAGTCGACGAGTCGGTTGGAAGCGTGCGGCTGGGCTGGGAAATCCTACATCAGTTGATGCAGGCGTTTCCCAGTTGTAATGGCGGGCTGGAGGCCGGAGACGAGCGGGCGACCTGCGCGCAGCGTTGTTCAATGTCGCTTCTCGCAGTTACAGATGGGTGCGCATTCTGGAGGCGACGGAGGTTGAGGCGGGTAGCTGTGGCATAACATTCCAGCCCATTTCCGCTGTGGCTGAGGCAGATCTGGGTAAATCCCAGAAGGGGCAAAGCTGCGGGGGCATGAGAACAGGGGACGGGTGATTGCCTATCAGCGGGCTCTGATTGCTCTGGAATCGGCAGCCACAGCCGCTAACAAACTTCATCCAGGTGCCACACCTCACTGAACTGCCCGGCCTTGGCCTCGGTCAAGTTACGACATTGCACATCATCAAGCTCTGAGCTGCCCCCTCCCCTCCAACACCCAAAAATCTCGCGAAGCAAACGGACCAGAACCAAGGAACCGCCCGAAGCACGAAGCGAAGCCCCGGCGACCCGACAAAAGGACCTTCGACCCATGTCGACGATGTTACAACAATAGCTCTTAGCTCTCGCCGACTCTTCCGTCCCGTCCACCAGCAGCTACGGCACCCTCGAGAAATGCGAAAGCTATGAGCCCAACTAGTGTGGTCTCCGAACTGGGCCGCGGCCTAGAGGAGTCGCAGAATCAGCGGGATGCTCGAATTGAGGAGCTGTGGTTCCGGCTCGACCCTGGAAGGACCGGCGAGCTGGATTTCAAGGCTCTTCAGAAGGGCTTCCGCAGGATTGATCATCGTACGGCGCCCTCCTTTCCACACCCAAAGGTGTTGATATCTGGGTACAGAAAGCTAAAACACGAACCGCCATGTAGCACTGAAAAATGCAGACCAGATGCTGAAGAAGATTCTGGCTGAGGTTGATACCAATGGAGATGGGAGAATCCAGTACGAAGGTTTGTGGCACCCTCGCCCGTCGCACACGATGTCTTCATCTTGGAACCGGCGGTTTCTGACACTGAGGCACCTCGATAGAATTTCATACATTCGTCGATCGCGCTGATCGTCAATTGTACAAGCTCTTCAGATCGATTGATAAAGATGGCAATGGGAAGTTGGACGAAAAGGAGCTGCAGACAGCTTTTCGCAGCGCGGGGCTCACAGTCTCGAATCGCCGCCTGGCCGAATTCTTCAAGCACATGGACGACAACGATGATGGGTTTATCTCGTTTGACGAATGGCGGTAAGTCCATTTCTATCTTTTCACCAGTTTATTTCATTTTTTTTGCTCCTTCATTTTCGCGGTCGCACAGTCAGCTGTGACGTATGTGCGTACCAAATGGACATGGGTTGTAGATCGCGATATCATGTGCCCCGAGATCTCCAACCCGGAGCATGATGCAGCCTTATGACATTCAGCCTACAAGAACTCGATTGTCCATCATGGAATTCACTCAACATCATGCGTCGAACCTCAGCTGACGCGGGGCTACTAGGCACTTCTTACTGTTCATGCCGGCGCAAGAGCATGACTCCCACCTTGATGCCATGCTTTCTTTCTATAACTCGGTGACATTTGTTACACCTGAGGGTGACTCGGTGGTGAGCGAGGAGACGCTAGAAGGCTTAGGTACGGCAGGTCCTCCATGTTCCTCGCGCTCTCTCCTTCATTCTATTCTTGGCTCCATTCTTCGCGTTGCTTTCCCCGGTGGATACACGCCGAGCCCACAGGAGCCAGCTTCAAGACCCGCAGCAACAGGAGTAGCAAACTCAGAGTTGGCTGCATCATCCTTGCCAGGGAATGAGACGAAGGCTATTGATGGGAGAAGACACGTCGCACCTGGCCTTGGTGCCGCCCCAGTCGGGCAGAAGCAGCATGAGCAGGAGGCAGTGGGAGAGCGCATCGTCAGCGATGACACCCAGGCCACTCATCAAGAGTCATCATCCACCGCCTCAGCTGTCAAAACTAGGAGAAAGTTTGAACTGACAGAGTTTATCCCCGATCCAGGTTACTTCCTTGCGGGTGCGGTCGCCGGTGGCGTTTCTCGCACAGCCACTGCTCCTCTCGACCGACTCAAGGTGTATCTCCTTGTGAATACTGGGACTGGGAACGCCAATGCTGTCAAAGCCATCAACAGTGTCGTATCAGGCCGACCACTTGGCTTGGTGAAGAATGCGCTTCGACCCTTTAGTGATGCTATCCGCGACCTATTCCGCTCGGGGGGAATCAAAGGGTTCTTCGCAGGTGAGTGACGAACGAATACCGATGTTCTTCATCTCATCAGAGACAGATCTGACCGCTTGGTGTTTTAGGAAATGGATTGAATGTGCTCAAGATCATGCCCGAAACCGCCATCAAGTTTGGCTCCTATGAGGCAGCCAAGCGCACGCTGGCCAACCTCGAGGGCCATGGCGACCCCAAGAAACTAAGCTCAGTCTCCAAGTTTAGTGCTGGGGGGATGGCAGGAATGATCGCACAGTACGTCTGAATCCAAGTATGATCCAAGCCTTCATGTGTACCAGACTGACCGTCAACAGGTTCTGCGTTTACCCCTTGGATACCCTGAAATTTCGTCTGCAGTGCGAAACCGTTAAGGACGGTCTCACCGGCAGCGCATTAGTGCGGCAAACGGCAGTCAAGATGTATAGGGATGGCGGCCTTCGTGCGTGCTATCGAGGCGTGACTATGGGCCTTGTCGGCATGTTCCCATACAGTGCTATCGACATGGGAATGTTCGAGTTCCTGAAGAACACATACCGTACCACGTATGCGAAGTACACAGGATGCCACGAAGATGATGCGGCACCAGGAAACATCGCCATGGGCATGATAGGCGCGACTTCGGGAGCCATTGGCGCCTCACTTGTGTATCCACTCAACGTGGTTCGGACACGACTACAGACGCAGGGAACTGCGATGCACTCAGCGACATATACAGGCATATGGGATGTGACCCGGAAGACAATTCAGCGTGAGGGCTACCGCGGGCTGTACAAAGGCCTGACACCAAACCTTCTCAAGGTTGCGCCGGCGCTGAGCATAACCTGGGTTGTGTATGAGAACACGAAAAAGGCTCTTGGGTTGAGCTAAACCAACCAGCATCTCTAGGATACGCAATACATGATAGAGGGAGGATATACCATGGTGAGCTGCTGAGAGACAACGGCACACCGTTAGAGGACCGTTAGAAGAAGGAACGGGATGCAGATTTACCTGCATATCAAAGTTCCGATGGGGTCACATGTGATTTTACTTTTTAGCGAATTGATCGGTCGGTCGGTCATTGGGAATATGTTCTGCGGAACTCAAAGCATCTACTTAGTTATATAGATGCGAAAATACATACCTCAGGGAGGAGTGGGGGACTAGATGTAATTGTACTGGAATAGAAAGGTCATGTTAAGGGCAGACGAGTAAAGTCAGAAGAAGACTTGACATTGGTGATGGCGGCTGCTGTGATGACTGTGTAGAGTAGCAGCTCTCGAGAATCCAAGCATTCGTAGGGCTGCGATGACTCACGGAACGTTTCTTTACGCTCTGGACGTGTGACATGACATGCAGATAATCGCCCCGATGCACTCTGGCTGGGGCCAAGTCGTCATCT